ATCACCTTTCCTTTCCTGGGTTCTGACTATGATGAGTTTCTTTCTCTTATGTGCCAAGCTTTTTGACCTTGTGGTCTTTACATTTGGTACCTTTCCTTCAGTGTATTCCTATCATTTTTTTTTTTTTTAATTTTTCATGGCTGGGTGGTTTTTCTAATTTTTGTCTCAGAAAAATTTTTTTTTTGTTTTTTTTTTTTTTTTTTTTAATGCATACTGTGAGAATAAGAGTCTCAAGGGAAGTCAGACTATGTCAGGGGGCAAATACAGGATTTCCTTAGAAAAGATAGAAAAGATGGTATCACAGCCTTCCTTGGCCCTTACAGATGTCAGTCAACTTATTCCTAGGCCCTGTCTTGGGGATGTCTCTCAATATGGTAAAATAAATCAATGCATATGTTGTTAAGAATACACTTTTGTAATGTAAAAAGCTGCCCTTTTGAGGATGGGAGAAGTAAACATTTACAAAAGATTCCTCCTTCTAGAATGAAGCAGTATAAGCCCCAAATATCTTTAATTCAGCCTTAATTAAAATGAAGATGAGACCAAAGACTTCCAGCTTCTGTGGCAGGAATCATAAGAGGATCCAGATGTTCTTGAGGATGCATAGCCCTGAATCATCAAATTACCATTATTAGATAAGGTAGACTGAGAATTGATATGCAAGCTGTCATTCATTTTATGTCAAATCTATTTATTTTGTACCTTGTCATCATAAAATCGAGATGCTAAGTTTTTACTAAGTAAACAAGTAATAATGGAAGATTTAGTTCCGTAACTTCCAGGACTGTTGACTTTTTGAGACTATTGACTGTTTGTCATGAGAAACTATTTGTTAGAATTTTCAGTGTGGGAAACTTTTTATAAATTCTGTTGTAGAAAATTGACTTATGCTGCATCTTCGGGGTGCCAGTCACCTCATTATCTGGTTCTGATTAATCTATCCAGTTTAAAGGGCTCTGCAAACACCCTTAGAGTAGGATAGTTAAAAGAATGCATTCAGTATAAAAAGGCTATTATTCAAGTAAGATAGATCAATGATGCTAACAATTAACTTTAAAACATAACGCAGAATTGTTCACCCTTTTTTCATGACACAGTGTTAATCTTTTCAGGAAGTCTTATCTCCTTGACCCTTTATTTCTAATGCCTGATTTATAGGTATCTATTGCAGTCTAACAAATCACTCTGAAATGTAATGACTTGAAACAGCAAGCATGTATTATTTCAGTTTGCATCAGGATTTTGGCTCAGCCTAGTTCAGTTTTCGTTTGCTTCACAGTCTTATAAGGCTTCAAAGCGTCAACTGGAGCTGTGTCTTCATCTGAAAGCTCAATGAGGGATCCTCTTCTAAGTTCACTCACATAGTTGCTGGCAAGATTCAGTTCCTCACGGGCTGTTGGCCATAGAGTTCCTTTTGTTTCTTGCCATGTCGGCCTCTCCCTGGGGCTCTTCACAACTGGCAGATTTATCTACATAGCAAGGGCTGAGAAAGAGAGGGGAAAGAAAGAGCAACAAGATGAAAGGCATGGTCTTTTTCTAGCCTACCCTAAAGGGGCACCCCATCATTGTATTCTCTTCATGGAAGTAGGTCACTAGGTGTGGCCACATCAAGGGGAAGGATATGGATCTTTGCAGGTTACCAGTCTTTCTCTACACATGGAGGGGACTCAATGAACATGAGCTGAATCTGTCAAGCATGCTGGGTCTCTGTCTTTCATGATGAGAGGCATGGCCCATGGTTTTGTGTGGTTCCTCTTCAGGTTGAGTTCCTGTCGATTGTGAGTTGACTGAGCAGCTGGGCTGTAGATCTAGGATTGGTGGGTTAACATGTACATGCCATTTGTTAAATAAATTGTGTAAAGGTACTTTTGCTTCACTTTTTTTTTTTTTGAGAGATTTTCACTGTAGGGCGCGTGCGCTCGCCAGACAGAGAGAGAGAGAGACATAGAGACAGAAAGCGAGAAATCACTCCCCAGGGGGGATGGTCACGCCGCAATCCCCTCTCCTCCATTCTCCTCTCGGGATCTTGGGCACGCACGCACACACGCCCGGCGTGAGTTTTTTAAGCCACCGGGTCCGGGACACGAACTGCGGTCGACTACGTGGGAATCCAGCAACATAGCCATTATGCTAACTGCTGGTTCCCACTTTTTTTTTTTTAAGTTCTGAGAAAAGAATAAGTGAAAGGAGACCTGAAGCCATAGATCCACTCTAAGATGACCCGGTATGGTGGGTGGGAGGGTGACTGAGGAATTTTAAAAAGTTACAACTGGCTTTTCCTTTTCGGGTGTTGTCTTAAATGTCACCACCTCAGAGGGGCCTTTCCTGTCCATCTAATTAAAATTAGCCATTGCTTCACTCTCAATTCTCTGCACAGCTCTTATCACCCCTCTTTCTCTGCTTCCTACTTATTTACTTGCTCATTGCCTGTCTTGCTCATGAGGACTAAGCCCCATGGGAACAGGGACCCTATCTGTGTTGGTCCCCCAATTATGACCAATACCTCACAAGAGGCCTGGCAGCCAACAGGTTCTCAATAAATACTTAATGACTCAAACACATGGACATGAACTTATTCTAAGGAGCTCCTTAGAGATTATCATGACTTCCAAAGGAAATGCCATTTGTCCAGCTAGTAGGCATAATACATTAATTTATCAAAAAAAAATACCAAAACAAAAACAACCTGAAGATTGGGGATTCTTAGACAGTGTTAGGTCACCAGATCCTGCCAGGGGAGTGAAAGTTCTAGATGCTGCTCCATAAGAGAGTCTTCATTTTCCATGTTTTCTTTTCTTTCTTTCTTTTTTTTAATAATTACTTATTTAACTTTATTTATTATTTTCAATTTACTATCAGGCACTTGTGCTCATCAGAGAGAGTCAGAGAGAGGGAAAGTGAAAAAGCAAGCCACCAGGTCTGGGGCATAAACCACAGTCAGCTAAGTGGGAGTCTGGCATCTTAACTATCATGCCACCTGGTGGTCCCATCTTTCTTTTCTTTTGGTTCCTTTGTTCCTTTTTTAAAATTTATTTATTTTTTTATTTGCTGCAGGGCGCATGTACTTACCAGAGAGAGACAGAGGGAAAGTGAGAAATTATCCCCCAGAGAGGATGGCCATCTGCAGTCCCTTCTCCTTCATTCTCCTCTTGGGATTTTGGGCACGCACACACACACACACACACACCCAGAGTATTTTTCAAGTTGCTGGGTCTGGGACTTGAACTGCACAGTCAGCTATGTGGGATCCAGCTGCCTTAGCCAACATGCCACTAGCTGGCCCAGTTTTACATGGTCTGTAATTATGATATTGCTTGATGAAAGGGCTCTGAGATCAGAAGAAAATAGTTCAAAAGCCAGGCTCCATGTGCCAGAGTGGCTATTGCAGCTCTGCAGAAGCAGGCCCTAGTGGCCGTTTGGGTGGATAAGGGCAGCGGTCTGAGGCCCACAAGGCCTCAGCCCAGTAGAAATAATGGGAAGTCCAAGCAGTGATTTCAACTCTGGGGGCCTGGTTGTAAAGAAGCCCCTCTCCACCCTAGCCTCACATATTGTTGATACCCACTTCATGCTGCCTTTGAAACATTAATGTCAATTTTTCTTTTCTTTTCTTCTTTTCATGTTAACTCTTTCATTTCAAGATTTCATTTCTGGCACTGCCTGTCCCACCAGATAGCCAAAGCTTCCAAGCGCCAAGTTCTATAATTAAAATTCCATCACATCCCCCAAAACTGTGCAAATGGTACCATTAACCCAGCAGAAAAGATTTGTAAGCACTTCACCTAGTAATTTAAATATAATACTCTGGCAATGTTCAATTTTTGGTATTTTTAATTCTAATTAAAAAACTATTATTTAACATTAATATCCCCTATATAATGTTCTGTTTTGGCTCTGCGCTTCAATTTGGCCATGTAGCCATTAAACAAACAGCTTGGTTTTGGGGCTGTAGCAGCCCACGTGGTTTATTCTGGCCTTTGGGAATCACCAGGTCCCAGGCATAATTAGTATAAATCAAAAATCCTCTAGCCTATGACAGGAAAATGGTATGTTTGAACAGCAGCTTATTAAAATGACCTACTTAATTTAAGAAAAATATTGTATCCACTTGCACAGTAACCTGGATGATTTCCCTGACAGATTTTATAACATTTCTCTCTTTTTTTCCTTTTTTCTTTTTTTTTTTTAAAAAAAAAAAAAGAAGAAGAAAGGGAATGGAAAGGCCCATTCTACTTCATCCAGGGTGCTGACCCACAGTTTGGACTGATGAAGGCCTGGTCCACAGGGGACTGTGACAACGGCGGTGATGAGTGGGGGCAGGAGATCCGTCTCACAGAGCAAGCTGTTGAGGCCATCAACAAGCTGAACCCAAAACCCAAATTCTTTGTTCTGTGTGGTGACCTCATCCATGCCATGCCAGGTGAGACTTAAAACATCACTGTGACCCTTTCTCCTTCAGTCAATCATGACTGCATTTATGCAGAGGGAAAATGATTTGTTTCAAAGACATCTTTATTCGGTGATAGCTCATTCCATCCCTTCATGACTGTGGCAGTATCACTGAACGTCAGAAAATGCATACTCATCTTATATTTAGAATTTGGTGAGATTAATCACAGTAATTAGGCAGAGCTACAGTTCTGATGATCAGAGCTTACTATGAAAAATGGAACAGATTCCTGTGTCACCTTTCTGCATTTCCAGGGACAAACGTGAACTGCTTCCTATATCCACAAATGTAATAGTTTTTCCTCTTCTTATGCTTTCAATTCCTCTGTGTGTGTTGCTCCATTTTTAATTGCAAGGGATAGAAATCCGACTTAAACTGGATTAATGTTTTGTTGAAATGTGCATATAAAGTGCAGGAACAGATCTGAGCTTCAGGTGCTGCTGGATCCAGGAACTCAGAGATTGTTAGCAGGACTTTGTTGTTCCATCCCTCGGCTCTTCTTTGTTTTTGGGTAGAACTCATTTACACACAGGCTCTCTCTAGGTAGCAGCTTAAGGGAGCTCTAAGTTTGTATCCTTCTTATGGAAACCACAACAGAAGGAAAGTCCCTCATTTTTGGTGATCCAGTCAAAGTCCTAGTCCAACACTTATCTAGCTCACATGGCCCCCAGAAGCCAGGGTGTGCAGTCAGATCCTCTGCAACCACACGTTATAAAAAACAGGATGGTTTCCTTAAAAAAAGAGTAAGACACTGGAATGCAAAAATAACAGCTGCGTTCTGGAACTTCTTTATTTTTTCTACTCTGATGTTTTTCTCTTCCAAGCAAGAATAGAGGCCAGTGAGCAAATATAAGCAAGTGCTTCTGTCTGTGAGGGAGGCAGAGCTGGTTTTACTTTACCTTGTAAATCAAGACTGCATCTTGCTGAGATTTCTGACTCCTGTAGAAATTGAGACACTCTGCAGGAGGCCTAGACATACCAGGGCTTGCATATCTGGCAGCCTATCTGTTCAGAGCAAAACCCATAACGATGGTGCAGGAATGGACAGAGGACAGCCAGGAGTTGCTCTCTCTCAAGTCCAGGGGTTATAACAAACAGGAATAACCCTCAGACCTCCCTTCATTTTTTACTCCTGTTTCATACACAGTCATGCATGTGCCCATGTCATTGACTCCTACCCGTAGAACCCAGTGACATCTCTGGTGGAACAGATGTTGGGGCTATGCAAAAGTGGTGGCACAGGACCATGGGATCATAGGTAGTGGACAAAGACCTGAATCAGAGTTCAGGTAGCCAGGATGCTAGCCCCACATCTGCCACTAATGTAGTGAGTACCATGTGGACAAACCCTTTGCCTTCTTAGGGCCTCCATTTCTGAGCCAAGAGCCCATCAAAATAGCAAGAATTTAAAACTTCCAACAGGCTATAGCTACATGCTACAGAGAGGTGAGCATCGTAACAGCTGAGTGCAGAAACACATACCCAAGGATGGTTGTGAGTTTTGTCTTATAGCTCCTTATAAACTTGGCCAGCCTTGGCGACTGGGCTGACGGCTCCTGGGTACCAATGTTATACAATACCCAGGTGGTTATAGTGTGCCTGGGCTTCTAAAGGAGTTAGAGGTCATAGTAGGACTCAGAATTTCCTCAGGTAAATCAAGGTAATATGTTAGTTGGCCAAACAGATTAGACCTGCTTCTAAATGTCAATGGTCTAATTTTCTGTTAGCCAGTTTCAGGTAAACCAAGCTAATAAGTCAGTTAATCAAACAGATCAAAGCTGTTTCCAAATGGTCTGATTTGCTGTTAGCCAGTCTCTTGGGGATTTATACTCATGTGGCCCCATGTGTATGTTAACTGGAGAGTCACTCTGGACCACACAGAGAGCAAACTTCTGTTTTTATTGAACATTTGAAGATAAGATTCCAAATTTAACATTTTTCTGTCCAGTGGTTTCTTTTTTTTCAAATACAGTATTGCCAGACTCACTAGAATTATATAACATGTCTTGTCGATGTTTACCAACTAGTTCTGAGTTATGTTAATGTATTCGGTCATATTTCAAAGTCAGATTTAAAGTAAAAGCTTTCCATGCAGTTACATTGCTCCTTAAATAAAATATACTGGACACAGTAAACTAAAAGTTACGGTTTTTACGATTAGCTCCACCAGTTGGTCAGAAGACCTCATAAATGTGAACTGGCAGACTTTTGAACATGTATTTTATATTCAGTGCAACTCTAGCAGAATTCATAATCTATTATGAAGATTTGGACTGTTTTGTGGGGTGTTAACTGAGCCAGTGAAAGACTGTAACTATTTTGAATATCATGGTCTGAGATTAAACAGAACATTTTAAAACTAGTTACCATTTTTTAATATGCAATAAGTGGTTTCCCTCTCATTTAGCTCATACACAGGGGCAGACACTAGAAAAATAATTATTTGCTTTGACTGCTTAGCACATTGTTAATTAACAAATGCATATATTAATAAGCAGATAAAATCAGAAAGCATACTGTTAATTCTGTCATAAATAATATCTTGAGCCAAGTAGATTTAAGTTTAGAATAGAGAAAAATAACTTTTGGAGTAATACTGTAATGCCTTTTTTAATGAAAGTAATAACATGCTTTTCCATTATAAATGTCCATCGTAATAGTCATTCATCCACAGATGAACTAGGCACGTAGAGAACTAGGTGCCATCTACAGCACTAGAAGCTGTGGATATAATAGTGGAAATGAGAGAAGGACTGTCTATGGAGTCTGGAGTCTGAAAGGAGAAGCATAAAAACAGGGCTGGTAAGAGGAGTCTTTAGTGCCCAGCCTATAGGAAGAAGCCCAAGAAATGCAGGCTTCTTTGATTCTGACAAAGCCCATTTATTTTGAAATGCCTGTTTTCATTCTGTAGACTTCTTTTTGGTAATCTTGGTATTTCTTATTTTATAAAGCTTCTCTAGGGATAAGCCACATTATAAGTAGCAAATGAAGATTTGCACAAATATTGAGACCATTGATTTTCAATCCTTCACTTTTAAGCCCAGGGTTACTTTGGTCAGTCTTAGTGACACAGAGACATCAGCTCACTGATATTGTCCCCAAGAGCCTTGTTAGATTTCAGCAATTAGGAGTGGAGCTGGCAAATCCAAATGCAGTGAAGGTGCTAGAGATTCCTTTGAGCCTTTATAACAATTTGTTACTAACACACACAGCTGTTCCTGTTTATTAAAAACCACACAACACAGCTAATATGGGGTAGAGTCTACCCTCCATAGTAAGTCTCCTTGAAGAGGTCTTTGTGTGGTGACCTCCACTTGGCAGCTGCTGGATGATTTGATTTTAGTTGATGGTTTAGCCTCAGGAATGTAAATGTGGAATGCCTCGTTCTGTAAAGGGAGGTGAGCCCATGTTAGATGTGTGTATGATTCTTGTTGCTGCTGAGACAGATTATCACCAAATCCATAGCTGAAATCAACATGTATTTATTCTGTCACAGTTTGGGAGGTGAGAAGTGCAGCATGAGTCTGCAGGGCCATGTTCCTTCTAGAGGTTCTAGCTCCTAGGATATGCCCACATTCCTTGGCTCATGGCCCCATCTTCCCTCTTCAAGGCCAGTGGCATAGCATCTTCCCCCCATCCCCTCATCTTCTCTAGGGTCCTCTGACTCTTGCTCTTTTATAGGCCCCATGATTATATTGGCCCATCCAGATGACTCAGGATAGGCTCTCCATCTTATGATCCTTAGTTTAATCACACCTACAAGTTCCCCTTTTGCTATATAAGGTGGCATATTTACAAGTTAGGATGTTGGAAATCTTGAGGGGGAGGGGCGTTATTCAACATCCCACAGATGGCATGGGATGTAATTGAGGGTCTGCTGATGCCAGAAAGCATGCTGCTAGCTCACCTACTCATTACACTCTTGCAAAGGAGGTGTCATTTTAACAGATGGGGAAACTGGCTCAGAGCAGTGAAGTACTTATTCCAAGGCTGCTCAGCCTGTAAGTGACTTAAGCTCATCTGTTCCTCATGTGCTTTCCACTACACCCTTGTGACTTATGGGTTGTCTCCCAGAGCAGCAGCTGGAGCTGTTAGAAAAGTGGAATCTCTGCCCTACTCAGAGCAAGGAGGTCAGAATCAACTTTTTTTTTTTTTCTTTTTAAGGTTTTTGCCGTAGGGTGCATGCACTTACCAGAGAAAGACAGAGAAAGTAAGAAATCATCCCCCCGACCCCCCAGTGGGGATGGCCATGTTGCAGTCCCTTCTTCATTCTCCCCTCAGGATTTTGGGCACACACACACACATTCCCATTGTGATTTTCAAGCTTACAGGTCTGGGACTCAAACCACAGTTGGCCAGGGTGGGACCAACTGCATTAACCACCATGCCACCTGCTGGCCTCAGAATCAGCATTTTTAAAAGATTCCCCAGATAGGTCTCAGGGTCAGTAAGGTTTGAGAAATGCTCCCTAAACTAAACTGCACAGGACTCTGTTTTTTTTTGCTTTCGGCGTATATTATATATCACTGCTGCGTGTTTACACATGATTTGTGAAAATTCATTTGAACTGTTAAAGATAATGGTGTTTTCTAAGAGAACCATCATTCCTTTAGACTTTAATGTTCACCCTTCAAAGGGAAATTCTTTAAGTTTGTAGGTTTGTTTTGCTATTCAAACAGCAGCTTGAACAAAGTAGGGTGACCTCTCTCTTGCAGGACTTCCAAAATGGCACTTTGATACTCAAGAAAAGAACCTCACATGCAGCTTTGAAAAGGCCTTTTATTTGGACTATTCAGGAAAGCTACAGCTGGCTCCTTGATTTGGGTCATGCGCTTGTACATAATCCCTTATCTGCTGTTCCAAAGTTCAGAAAGCTCTGACAACTATGTGTTTTTTTCTTTAAGTTTGTATTAACTCAGTTGGCAGCAAAACTGCCCTGACTGACATTTATAGTCTTTTATTCATCCTTT